AGCGGCCCCAGCACGCCACGGCCCCACCGGGAACGGGCGCCCCTCGTCCCCCCAGGCTAAGTCTGCCCCCACCTGAGTGTGAACACACCTCAGCTGCCAGCGCTTCGATGGAAACAGTCGTTTCATTCTCTGTCTCTCAGTGATGGATCTTTCAAATGTCACACTCAGGTCCTGGGCCCTAGACTCAGAACTCACTGGAGGAGTGCGAGTGGCCGACGCAGGGGTGCGGGCTCGGGAGCAGCTGGCATGTGCTGACCCCTGGGCTCCTTTTCCCCACCCTCCTCCTGCACCAGAGCCCCCGCCGTGGCCAGAAGCTCTAGACCTCCTTCCTCTGCCCAGGCCCTTTCTTCAGGTCTGAATTTCACCCATAAACTCCCTGCTGGTGGCTGAGGAGAAGGCAGGAGGGTCAGAGTCAGAGGAAGAAGATGTGAGAAGAAGTTGCCCGGAGGCCTTGAAGCTGGAGGAGGGGGCAGGAGCCTTGAGGAGCTGGAAGAAGACAGGGAAGAGGTTCCCCCAGAAGCCTCCAGAAGGAACTGCCTGTGCATTCACTTCAGACTTCTGTCTCTACAACTGTAAGACCATAAATATGTGCTGTTCTAAGCCAGTGAATTTTTGGAAATGTTCTACAGCAGCAATGGGAACCCTAATTCATCACCATTTCCTTGTTTTCACTCTCCAGTTTTCTTACTGACTTCATGGTGTGTGGTGATCAGAACTGCATATACTACTCTGAGAGGGTAGGGGAATATCGGCCAGATTTGTTTGGTGGCCAGGAAAATTATTTCGTAACCTCAAGAGAAGAGTACAGACCAGAACCTTTGGAGACAGCCTTCTAGAGAATCCTGGGTACCAGGAAGCACACTGACTTTGAATTTTAGTGAATGATTATATTGTCCACAATAACAGTGATGTACTGTATTCTTTTCTACAATTGACCCTGTTCTAAGTCTCATTAGAAAGTTGAAAGCCCATTTAAGGAGTCTGGGAAGATGGTGGCAATTTAGTGTTTTTGTATTTTCCCCAAATTCTCCCAGAAACAGACATACTAGATCTGAAAGCAAAACTAAGAACCCAATACCCACGGATCCCACAGTTCTGGAACAGTCTGAACCCTATCAACTCAAAACTAACAGAGCTCCCCCAGCACCCAGATTCCTTCCCTCAGGAGAAACTCCTGAGGACTGAATCTGGCCAAATTGATCAGGACGCACAGTAGGGGCAGAGGAGAAGACACCTCGCAGGTGGTCGGGGAGGGGAGACAAGCGGGTTGATTTCTGAACCGCCCAGGCTAAATTGCTCATCGCTTTGTGAAAACAACAAAAGAGGAAGCACCAGGGCTTCAAAGTTAAAAAGCTATGCCAGCCCATTGCTATCTCCTGACGATTCAGGAAAAGTCTTTGTTTTGTTTTATTTTTAAAAATAAGCAGCATGAACAATCACAGGAAAATCTACCCGAGCATTGTCAATTCCCTGCCAACAATAAAGGCGTGCCAGGAAAATACAGGGCTTCCTGCATATTGAAACACACCCATAATAGCAATAACTATAACAATAACAGAAGGAAACCACTAAGTTAAAAGCGGGAGCAGGCATGGGCATTGTTATTCTGAGACTAACGTTTTTACGTTGAGGTCAGATTGAGTCATTACTTTGATATCATTGAGAATCAAAATAGTGTGAGTGAAAGGAGACGGTCATGCAATGGATGAGGTTAAGTAAAAACACTGTATTCCTAAATTCGAATGGGAATTATGGATATGAAATGACTAGTTTTGTACAGAAAAGGACTGAAAACAGTGACCAAACCCGATCAATAGTCACCCCCGGTGAGTAGATTTCTCACTAAAACCATCCATGGCTTCCGGGAGAAATGGAAGATTTCATGTCTGAGTCGGGAAATGCACCATCTAAAACATCGTGTCCACCAGAAAACAAGAAAGCCACCAAAGGTCTCCAGGTCCACGTCAAAAGGATTCACTGAAGAGGCCCCCACCGACTGAAGATGTGAGAATTACCGCATTGAAACACATCTAATGTTTAAATCCACGAGTTAACAGACATTAAAACAAACTAAAACAAAAAGCGCAAAATCTAAATTGAACCTCAAGGTACAAGTAGTTGATGAGGGAAAGCGTTTTTTGTTTTTTTAAAATAGAAGCTTGGAATTAAAATGCCATTGTTTCACAACTCAGCATACCTGAGTAAATCTAGGCAACCATTTTCAAAGGCTGGTAACATCACCAAGAGAGACAGCCAGGCACCGGGGTTCCCATTATGATGGGATCTGCTTTGGTGCCCGGAGGCCTCCAGCCGGCCCCAAAACACTCACCCTTCCACAGCTCTGCATTCTCCCAGCTAAATGAGGCCACAGATTAACAGATACCATGCTGGGTGTTTTGTTTTGCTAAGCAATTATTGTCAACTTTTTGCTTAATGATAGAAATGCAATTACCTCCCATCTTTCAGAGATCCTTAGGGTGGATGCAACAGTACCATATCTGGAATTGCCCCAACGCCCCTGGGGGAGAGTGGTAGGCAGGGCAAAGATGGAACCGGATCGCTCAGCTGTATAACCTTTTCTCTCTACTGACAAATTTCCACAATAAGAAAAAAAACAAGACAAACACGCACAAAGCCACACATACTCATTTAGATGAGAACCTCAATGGATTTGGTCCTACAGGGCTTGTGGAGCCACTGAGGGTGGAAATTAGAACCGGGAGACGTTTTTGTTCTATGGCACCTCCTGAGCAGTCTTGCAGCATTAAGAGCATTTTAAGTTGTACCCAAACTCTCACCAAAAAGAGATCTCCCTGATCCATTCTTATGCAAGGAGCTGTGATGTCAGCTTTGTTGATTTAAATTTTAAGCAAAGGGTAGATGGGGGTGACCAGGGGCCGGGAGGTGGGGGAGGTGGGCAGGAGCTGGTCAGAGAGACAAAGCTGCAGGGACGCAGGGTGAGCAGTCCCAAGACTACTGTCCAGCACGGTGACTGCAGGTGATAACGCTGGGTCAGGTCCTGGAAATTCGCTCAGGGAGTAGACCTCAGGTGCTCTGACCACACACAGTGGTCACTACGTGAGCCAGACGTGCTAATTAGCTTGACTGTAGTAACCGTTCCACTGTGTGTAAGTGTTTCAAACCAGCATGCTGGACACCCTAAAAATTTTAAATTCTTATTTAAATTTTAAAAATTTAAATGCTGAAGAGCTGTGAAAGTGCACTTCTGCTAAATGCCGCCTTCCTGTTGCTTCTGGTGTGAGTGGCACCCTCGAAGGCCGCGGCTGTTCCTCGTTCTCCTCTGCAGTCCTAGAAGTAGGTGGTACCATAACCAAACTGGAGTTGAGGTGCACGGGTCACACGGCCCTGGGAGCAGGTGCCCCAGAGAGCTGCCCTAACGTTCTTGCCCAGGCCTTCCTCTTCCCTCTGAGCTTCATGTTTACCCCAAGGGAGCCTCGCACCCTCCTCACAGCCCCACCTGCTCCTGGTACGTGCACTGCAGGCCTCTGCCCACATCGGCCCCTGGAGCCGCGCACAGAGGGGAGGGCTGGCAGGCGCCGTGCTCCTCCCACAAAGCTGGCTCCACTCGCCTCTGCAACTTCCTTTTTCTCTTTCCCGAATCTCCAGTCCTGGAGCATGTCCCGTGGTTAATGGGCACCTGTGCTGTCTGCCAGGGCCTCCTGATGGGGCTCCCCAGCTGCCCGCCACTCGACACCCTCCGTGTGAAGACAGGCTGGTCCTCTGGGGGTGAATCATGTGGTTACGTCCATGCTCAAAAAACTCCAAACTTGTTCTCAGCCTGTGAGGCTCTGCAAATCCAGCCCTGCCTTTTCTCTCCAAACTCAGGTCCCGAACCGGCCCCTCGATCTCGTGGCCCCAGCCCCTGTGGGCTTCTCTCTGAGCTGCAAGGGGAGAGTTCCATTCCCCTCGTAGGACCCTCACTCTCACTGTCCCGTGTGCTGATCTTCACATCTGTCTGTGCGGCTGTGATTCAGATCTGGTGAACTGACATGGCTTCCAGGGGATCTTTATCCCGCTGCTTTGATCACGGACCTAAGCCTCTGTGTTTTCTTGACTGTGTTTTAGTGAAGCCTCTTGCTCCCCGGCGGGTGCACGTTACCTGGGAACAGCCCCATCTTGCTGGCCCTGCTCACCCTCCACCTCTGGGTCCTGCCGCAGTGCTGGGCCCAGACTGAGTGCTCAGTGAAGGAATTTCTGCCCCTTGGTCTCCACTCCACTCCTGCTGTCTCCCCAGAGCAAGTTTTGTTAGTTCCCCTCCCAATGCGTTTTTCCATTTTCTTGGAAGGAAAAGGGTGCAGATCCTCCCTAAGCCAAGGTCAGCTCCCTCGCAGGGACTTCCTGCACATGCTGCCGTTGGAGCTGCACCTGGGGCCAGGCGCCTTCCCTGAGCGCTGGGTCCTCTGTCTGGAAGGGGCACGGTGGGCCGTGGGGGACGAAGTCAGACCAGAGATGAGGCCCCATGGCTCTGAGGAGCAGATGCCCAGGTTCCCAGGGGTCATTTCATTCCCATCTCCGCCCCCGACCCTGCTGTCCCCTCAGGAATCATGAGCGGCCCCGACTCCTGTCTCTCCTAGATCCTTGGATGCTGGACCCCAAGGGAGCCTCCCTCGGGAACGCGTTTGTCGTTGATGGGCTTCCGTTTGTTGGCCAGGCTCAGCAGCCGCAGGAATCAAGCTCTCCTCCTACAGAGACACCAAACCCCCAAAGGGGCCTTCAGTTACCCCTTCCAGTCGCTCCAAGTTAATTAAAAAAAAGTGCTCACTGCTTCAGGTGTCTGCTATTTGTTTTGACAAGGACCGGCTGTCTCTCTGGGAAGAGGCAGCTATGGACCAGCTCCCTGGCACGGCCAGCTGCGTCTCAGCTCAGATTGGGACTGAGACCACTGGCAGAAACTTTGTTCTCCTGACCTTGAGAGGATGACAGCCAGGAGCCCCTTTGGACTGAATAATCCTATAAAGTGCTCAGTGGCCTGGAAAAAATGATTTTTTCAGCTTTAATCCGTTATGATATGTTATTTGAAAATGTAATCTTCCGTGCAAACAAGCAGCACACTGGCCTCCTTTGCTGGCCTGACGTCCCCGTCTGGGCTGACAGTGTCTCTTCAAAGCCGTCCTCTGGTCGTGTCTGCAGGCTGTGAACTACTTGCATATTGGGGAACCTCGAGCTGGCGTGAAAAGTGAATTCAGTCCTTAGTAACCAGGTGGCCTTGTCTCTGGGGCCCCGGCTAACAGATAGGAAGCACCAGGCTCTGCAAGGGAACTGAACACAAACGTCCACGTCCTCCAGGGACTGAGTACATCTAAACCCTCTAATCCTTTCTGAGAACCTGTCTCGCTTGTTTGGATTACACCAGTTCAAGGGGGGCTTCGGGGTCATGCACCTAACTGGACCTGGGAGGAGCTGGGGGCTGCCACGGCCGCCCCATGCCCCCTCTTCTCTGCCCAGCAGGGTCCTGCCCTCAGCCCCTGGACACAGGCCCAACCATGGGGAGGGAGTGTAAGGACGAACCCCTGGACACACGCTCTGGGGAACGCCAGGCACAGCCCAAGGGGACGTGTCTGATCAAGGGACCCCCACTGCATCTTCAGGATCCAGTCCCTGGGCTCCATGGGGCAGAGTAAAGGGATGTCAGGGTTGTGGAAGGAACATAGGTTTGGGTGAAAGAGGGTCTGGGTTTGATCCTGCCTCTGTCACTCAGGGCCTTTGGGAAGACATACTCAGTTCCCACACAGAGGTGCAGGATGATGCTGGCTTCCTCCCTCGGACAAGGAGGTGAGGGTACACCCAGCCTGGCCGGACAGCAGCTGCTCACATGCACTTCCACTCTCTGCCTTATTTATGCATTATACACTGATCTGTGCTGTGGAGGAAAGGCCCTCCTCCCTCCTGGGAGGGCATCAGGCACGGCACTCGTGAGAGAGGTGGGGTGCTGGGACCCTGCCTCACGGCCTGCCCCCACCATCTGCAGGAAGGACTGTGGTGCCCAGTCACATACGGACACACAGCAGGAGCGAGGGCACCCACCCCCGCAAGCTCCCTTCCCACCACACGGGGCTCCGCCCCACATCCTGCCCCGCAAACAAGACACGCAGGCCGGCCTGTCCTCAGGAGCAAGGATGGCCCACGCCCTTCGGGGCAGGAAGAGGCGGCAGCAAGCTTACCTGCAGCATATGGACAGATGGGGTTACTCCAAGCCCTTGGGGACTCTGGCAAAGTCGTGTTGGAGAGAGGGAAGCTACTGCCATCTGGTGGACGACGCTGGAGATGCTGCCCAAGGTCTCGCAGGCAGGACACCCCACACGGAGGACTCTGCTCCCAAAGCAGGAACTGACTCGGCTCTGGACTCACGCTGTCCAACAGAATCACGTGAAATGTTAAGTGTGCTAGTAGCTACAGGAAAAAGTAAAAAGAAATTCATTTTCATAACATTTTATTTAACCCAACAGATCCAAAATATGATTCTTTAACCATGTACTCAATCTAAACATTACTAGTGAGGTTATTTTACACTTTTCTTCCTCCCCAGCACGTGTCCGTTCCAGTGTGAATTTCACACCGACCGCACCTCTTGGTGCAGACCGGCCGATTTCCAGGTCCAGGAGCCTCTGTCATTTTGGACCAGTGGTGGCCTGCCGGAGTCTGGTGTCCCCTTTCTGAAAAGTGGAAGAGTCTCAACTACCCTGTAAATTGAGCCTCCAGTACTTACTGGCTGGTACTGTTCCCACCAGGGTCAAAGGTTTTCTAAGACAGGGTTTTGCACTTCATTTGTATCTGTGAAGCTCCTCAGCCACCTGGCAGAGTAGATGCTTAATTAACTTCTGAGTCCCTTTGGCTGAAGTACTGCAGATGAGCGTGAAACCAGACGTCTGTTCCTCAAGGTTGGAAGCTGGAGTCCAAGGTCAAGGTGCTGGGGACCTGGGGTCGGGTGAGGACCCGCTTCCTGGTCTGCAGATCCTGTTTTCCCTGAGTCCCCATGAGCACCGAGAAGCTGTTTAAAGCTTCGAGGATGCTGTAGTCACAGGCCTCAGGGGCTGGGGGAGGGAACAGACCTGTGAGCCTGGGCAGGAGGGCCAAGTCCACTGCCCTAACCTTGATATGTGTTGACCCCAGTCAAGGCATTGAAGAAGGGACATCCTGCACCAGATCCTCAGTCTTTAGTCTGCCTGGGGGTGGGGGAAGAATTCTCTCTCTCTGCCTCTTGACCTACCTACCATAAGGGACTTGGGTAGTCACCCAAAAAACAGAATAAAGCAGACTGAATTGTAATTAAGATGAAGGAAGAAAAAAAGGTGGGCACTAATTAACCAGGGAAAGGAATGACGCTTCAATGGAGACGATGACACAGATGAATGAGTTTGCTGCAAATTTGGTTCCCACCTTCCTAGAATGATCTGCCAAAAGGGAGGCATCCTCAGCCATGGTTTAGTCAACGTGCAGGAGGTAAAACTAACCATTATCCAGGGAATTTGTTGCTCTTCCTGGTATGAAGTCAGTGGGAAGGGATTTCTCCTGGGAGGTCTATGAAGTTCACCATCTCCAACTTTCTGTCCTTGGATGACATGAGAGAACTCACCCTGGAGGAAGACCATATGGATGCCACCTGTGCAGGGTCGCCGCTGTCAAAGCTCTCACTCTGGATGATATATGAGTGCTCGAATTATAAATGCGACGAGTGTGGAAGAGTCTTCACCACAGCTCTAACCTAACATACCAGAGAGCGCACACAGGCTGAAAATCAACGTCTCTGTAACCCCTAAGTTTTCTTTTTTAAAAATTTTATTTATTTATTTTTGGCTGTGTTGGATCTTCGTTGCTCTGCGCGGGCTTTCTCTAGTTGCGGCGAGCGGGGACTACTCTTTTGTTGTGGTGCGTGGGCTTCTCACTGCGGTGGCTTCTCTTGTTGCGGAGCACGGGCTCTAGGCACGTGGGCTGCAGTAGTTGTGGCACACGGGCTCAGTAGTTGTAGCGCACGGACTTAGTTGCTCCGCTGCATGTGGGATCTTACTGGACCAGGGCTCGAATCCATGTATTGGCAGGTGGATTCGTAACTACTGCGCCACCAGGGAAGCCCCCGTAACTTATCCTTAAACAACACGAGTGACCTCCATTTGGGAGGAAGCCTCTCTCTGTTCCCACTGCAGCAGGGACTTCATCTAAGCTTCAGCGTTAATGTGCACAAGAAAATTCAGGGTAGGAAGAACTATAAAAACCGGAAAATCTTTAGAAAAGTAGACAAGTCTTTACCAGGAGAAGCAAGTTGGAAGTGAAATAACACATAACTCATGCTGGAGAAGTTATTAAATGAAAGAAATGTAAAAAGCCCTTTACTTGTAGAATATGTGAGACTGCACACTGTATAAAACACTCAGTGTAATGAATTAAGGAAAGCCTTCAGTGATTTCCAACCCCTTAGGTAATATTAAAGTTCCCATACTGAGGAGATACCAATCTTAAAATCAAAGTGAAAAAGCCTTCAGCGGAAATTCATGTTAGAAGTCTCAGAATTGGAAAAACCTCCATCATAAATGTTTTACAACACAATTCATCCATAAATTCAAACTTCTGCCTAATGACTTATTATTGAATATAAAATAAAATAAAATGTAGGAACATGGAACAATTTGGGAATGTTGAGTGCAGAATTTTGTGAAAATTATTACATTACATTTTAAAATGTAATATATAAATATATAGATTAAAAGTTGCAGCTGAAAAGCTATTATGTTGGTCACTTTCCAGTTTTTTTACATAGCTCTAAATATAATTAAGATGACTGGGGTCAATTAGAAAATAAATTTCTGTGTTAACGGAAATATGTAGAATATGAGTGTTAACTATACTCTGCATAGCTATAGTCCAGCTTTCTTTGCTTATTTTTAACAAATGTACCTTCTCCATCCTTTTACTTCTAATATATCTGTATCTTTATATTTAATGTGGGTTTCTTTTACATAACGTATAGTTGAGTCTTTTTTTCTTTTTTTTAAAATCCCCTCTGACAGTCTTTTTTTTTGGCTGTGCCCCACAGGCTTGTGGGATCTTAGCTCCCTGACCAGGGATTGCACCAGGCCCTCAGCAGTGAGAGCGCACAGTCCTAAGCACTGGACTGCCAGGGAATTCCCAGTCTTTCTTTTAATTGATGTATTTAAACGTCTGATGTTTAAAGTGGTTACTGTTACTATTGGATTGGTATCTATCCTATTTGTAACTGTTTTCTATTCATTGCCCTTGTTCTTTATTATTTTTTTTGTCTTCCAATTTTTTCTCCCTTACCTGGTTTTAACTGAGCATTTTATATAATTTATATAATGCCATTCTTTGTTCTTACTGTATCAATTAATCAATCATACTTCTAGAAAATGTTTGTCACTGTCCTTGAGTTTGCAATATGCATTTACAACTAATCTAAGTCTACTTTAAAGTGACACCATGCCACTTGCAAGTACCTTACAACAGACTACAGGCTTCCCTGCTATCCACTTTCTTATATGTTAGCAATGAACAACTGGAATTTGAAATAAATTATTTATATTAGCACCCAAAAAATGAAATCCTTAGGCATAAATCTAATAAAAGATATATAAGACTTATATGAAGAAAAGTACAAAACTCAGTGAAATCAATAAATATGTAAATAAAAGTAAAGCTAGTCCATGTACATGGTGAGGAAGACACAATTCTGTCATGATATCAGATCTTCCTGATTTTGACCTGCACATTCAATAGAATGCCAGTCGAAACCCCAGCAAATTATTTTGGGGGTATCAGCAAATTGATTTTAAAGTTTATATGAAAAGACAGAAGACCAAAAACTAACCTAACATTGAAGGAGAAAAACAAAGTTGGAACACTGATACCACCCAACTTTAATACTTAAAGTTACCATAAAGCTACAGTGATCAAGACACTGTGGTATTAACAAAAGAACAGACAAACAGTTTAATAGAACAGAATAGAAAGCACAGAAAGAGAGTCATACAAATATACTGGACTGATCTCTGACAAAGGCACACAGGCAATTCAATGAGGAAACAACAGTCTTTTGAACAAATGGTGTTGGAACAACTGGACAGCCACAAGCAAAATAATGAATTTAGAGGCAGATATTACACCCTTCATAAAAATCAACTGAAAGTGCATCATAGACTTAAATGTAAAATATAAAACTCCTAGAAGAAAACATAAGAGAAAGTCTAGATGACTCTGGGTTTGGAGATGACATTTTAGGTGCAGTGCCAAAGCCATGATTCATGTCAGAAAAAAATGGATAAATTGGACTTCATTAAAATTTAAGGTACTTCCCTGGTGGTCCAGTGGTAAAGAATCCGCCTTACAATGCAGGGGACTCAGGTTCGATCCCTGGTCAGGGAACTAAGATCCCACATGCCACAACTAAGCCCCTCGGGCCACAACTACTGAGATTGCGTGCCTCAACTAGCGAGCCTGTGTGCTGTAAACTACACAGCCCACACGCCCTGGAGCTTGCACGCCACAACTAAAGAAGAGAAAACCTGCACGCCACAACTAGAGAGAAGCCCATGCACCACAACGAAGAGCCCGCACGCCGCAACAAAAGATCCTGCACGCCTCAACAAAGATCCCGCATGCCGCAACTAAGACCTGACACAGCCAAAAATAAATAATAATAAATCTTAAAAGAAATTTTAAAAGTTCAACCCAATTAAAAATGCACAAACTATCTGAGCAGACACTTGACCAAAGACATACAGATGGCAAAGATCCAACATGTCATAAGGGAACTGCAAATTAAAAGACCTGTTAGCACGGCTAAAACACAGAACGCTGACAACACCAAACGTAAACAAGGATATGGGACAACAGGTGCTCTCGCTCACTCCTGCTGGGAATGTAAAATGATACAGCCAGTTTGAGACACTGAAGCTACTTTTCTCCACTGGGGAGGTGAGGCTCAGTTCATTATCTTTCCAAAACGCAAGCCTGCTCAGGCACCCACAGCTGGTGCTGAAGTCCACTGGGGTCTCACTCTAGCAGAAAAACCATCACAATCACCACAGACACCATAACCTGCATGATGGTTTTGCTTCTGTGGCAACAGTGCTCACTCCTTCAGAGAAACTTGTCTGACTTAAAAGAGACTTTATGGGACTCTGGAATATGGGGACCGCCTGCTACATGAATGCAGCACTGCAAAATCTGACATATACGCCGTCTCTTGGCAACTCTACACCGACTCAGGGGTACTCTCAGATTTGTCGGCATTAAGGATTCTGCATCCTATGTACTAGGCAAGCCATCATCATTGTGATGTTATCAAGCCATCACACCCGTGAGTTGCTGGCTTCCATACACACAAGCAGGAAGATGTCCATGAATTTCTGATGTTCACTGTCAAAGCCATGCAGAAGGCACGTTTGCAAGGTGACAAGTAGTTACAGTGTCACTTCAAGGGCACCACCCTAACACGACCAATATTTGGAGGGTGCTGGAGACCTTAAATCAAGTGTCTCCATTGCAAGGGCATTTTAAACACCTTTGACCCTTACTTGAACATTAAGCTGGATATCAAGGTAGCTCAGAGTGAGAGCCAAGCTTTAGGATAGTCGATGAAGCCCAAAGAGCTGGACCACGAAAACTCCTGTCATTGTAGTGTTTGTCTAAAGAAGGTGCCTACTGCCAATGTTTACTTTGCACACTCCCTCTAAGGTCCTCATCCTTGTACTGAAACAGTTCACAGGTGACAAAATTGCTGGGTAACCATATCCCGAGTGTCTTGACGTGCAAATCTTCCTGTCTCAGCAGAACGCAGGACAACTTGTCTGTTTACTCTAGGCTGTGCGGGTCTATGCCACTTTGAGTTGTCTCAATGGACATTACTTCTGATATGTAAAAACTGGGAGAAAAAAAGAGTGGGATGATGGATGATCTAAGGTAGCCACCTGTGACATGACTTCTTTCCTGAGCCAAACTGCCTATGTCCTCTTTAACACTCAGAAGAGCGAACTGGAAAGAAAGAGTGGGAGTCTGGCAATAGGTAGGGAATCAACAGCCCTTGGGCTGATGACACAGCCATGGGAGCAGATTTAGGAAGCCCTGAAGGAGATGCCTACATCCAAGTTCCTGAGTCACAGGAGAATTTGGAAGAAACACCAACCAAAGGAGTCACCTTAGACCAGGGGAAATTTCTCCAAGAACAAAACTGACCGAAGCCTGAATTCAACCTCAGGAAAACAGAATTCACCCCGGGGCGCTGCAGTGCAGTTGTGATTCAGCAGTCAAAATAAAGAGGTGGGATGAGAAGAATCTCCAGAGCAGGAAAACTACCTGCTGAACGTTTCATTCAGGGACACCCCAGCTCAGACGGAGAACAGCAGCAAACTCCCTTGTCTGGGGCAGAGTGCCAGAGGTACCAAGAGAAAAAACAGGAAGGGTGAGGAGCCTGTGCATGTATTCCAGTTATCTTGGTACAAGTGTTGAGGGCGCACATGTGCAATGAGCACATACACATAGTCACTCTGGGGTGAAGAAACAAAGGTGAGGCTCAGTGACGTGTACACTGGTGCCACTGTGTAATAGTGACGGATCCAGAGCCGAGGCCTTAGAAGGGAAACTGTGCCTCGATGCCCTGAAACATGTGTGGGATACGTGTGAATCGTCTTAACAACTTTGCATATTTGATTTCGGAGGTTTTCTAGTGGGATTGGGTGTTGTACATATGCTGATAAGTTGTCAAAAGAGGTCTCAGGGTGAGTTCTCAGGGAATACCGGGCTGAGCA